GTCTTCGAGCTCTTGGCTAGGTAGCTCTCAACTTGCACTGCTTTTATTGCAACCCTCATGCTCCTATTTGGCTACCCTTCGAAAAAGGACAGTTCAGTAATCGTGTGCTCGGACTAACCTTCTTCTCAATTATCACAGTCACCGAACACCTGGTTGGGTAGCCCTGGGGAGAGGATATCACTGGACAGTATATGTTTATGCAAATTCCTAGCTTTACTATTTTACTATTCCTATCAGATAAAAAATTTAGATTTAAATTAATTGCTTATCTTCCAAGTAGCGTTACACGTACTTTATTGTTCATAAGTTACATACTATCGCATTCGCGTCTCGTACATCTTCGCACAGCTGGGTCCTCGAACCCAACAGGTTTAACCCTTACAAGCCTGATTTTCCAAATTGAATTTCAAATCTATCGATGTATTTATTGTTTGAACAATTTCGATAGCTGACGTTTGTTTTTCTTTTTTAACGTATCCAATGGTAACGTACATGCTGCCGAATATTAAAGACAACAGTTCTTGAATTCTTGAATTCCTGAATTCTGAATTCTTCAATCTTAAATTCTTGATTCTTGGATTCTTCCATTTTGAATTCTTGAATTGTTCCATCTTGAATTTTCTGAATTCTTAAATCCTGAATTCTTGAGTCTCGAACCCCGAATTTGGAAATCTTAAGTTTCAATAATAACGAATAATTAATTTTCATTCGTCGCGTACGAATCTTTCATGAAATTATTACGTTTAGACACCTTCGTTAATTCGATACGTAACGTTTCGCATTTATATCGTTGAAACTTAAAACGATCAATGTATTTGTTACTTGAACAATTTCGATAGCTCACGTTCATTTTTTTAAACGTTTCCAATGATAACGTACACGCAGCCGAATACGAAAAACAAACCAATAGCGATTCTATTCGAAAGTCCGGTATCAAATTTGAAACTTGGGGCATACAAGGGTTAAGATCTCAGGCCAATGGTCGTTCTTAACCACTAAGAAGCTTACGCCAATTACCTTCCCCTCATTGAACCTGTAGGTCCTACACAGAAATTCTACGATAAATTTCCAATCTCCTTCAAACCTCGAAACATGATTTTATCACATAGATTCATTCGACACTTTGCTCGTAAATTTTCTTTCTCGCACACCAGATATTATCTTTTTTTCCCCCCCCCCCCCCCCGATTCGAGATTCGCGTACAAATTTTCTGTTTCCAAACTTTTGCCCGTCGTGTTCGCCTCTTTTCAGTTTAGAAATTATAACCAATTTAATTTTGAAGGAGGGGGGGGGGAGTGGGAGGTACATCACGTTGGCCCCCCAATATTAAAAAAATCCAAAATTTTCTTCTTGCAAACGTTTCGTTCAACGTTTGGCTCTTTTTAGTTTAGAAATTATAACCAATTCAATTTCGAAGGGAGGGGGAGTGGGAGAGGGAGGTACTTCACGTTGGCCCCCCAATATTAAAAAAATCAAAAATTTTCTTTTTCCAAAACGTTCTGTCCATCACCTTGCCCCTTTGGAAATTTCGTTTTGCTCCTTTTTAGTTCGATAACGATAAACAATGCCATTTCGGAGGGGCGGGAGCGGGGGTGGGTGGGGGGGAGGGGGGGTGGAAACATCACACGTACTCGAATAGAAAATCCCAGCATTCCGAACAATCTTGAACAAACAAGAAAGACAACTCGAAAATAATTCCCAAGTTTTCTAACTAAATAAACATAATAACTCGCCCGCGCAGTATTTTCGGTAATTTCTGAACGAATCGCGAACGGCGCGTAATCTCGCGCCGAATCGCGATACACTCGAACGCCTCCCGCCCCCCGTCGCCCCCCCCCCCTCCTGTGCGTCATCCCCTTAACGTTTACTTTCCCGGTTACTTCGTTGGGGCCACTTCCCGTCCGCGCGGCGCATCTTTATTTACCCTTTCGATTCCGTCGGTCGGTAATCTTCAGCCCTTTGTCCCTTTCCTTTGATCGTAAAGTGCCATCGGGGGCCCCGGTGTAACTCAACAAAGAGTCAATTGTCTATCCAGCTATTCACACGGAGCCGCGTTCGCGCCCGCCGACACCTACTATAGACAGACGCCCGCGATACGGGCGCCAAACACACGCGAACTTGTACCCGGTCGCGCTGTTAACGCGTTTCACCCGCCGTGTGGACCATTTTGTTTGACATCGTTCGACGCGCGTCTCGCATTTTTTTTTTTTTTTAAAGATATTTCAGGATCCGTCTTTGTCCTTGTTTGTCACGTTGATCGCCATGTCGCCCGTATATGGGTGACAGTGTTTCTCACCCGAGAACCAGAAAGATTAATTCCGAAAGTTAGACATCACGGGAGATGGATCTAAGCGAAATTCATGAATTTCGATGTAGTTACAAAACTAAATACCGCGATATATGTTTCGTTACCTAGACTCCGAGAGCGTAAATAATATTTAATCTTAGCAGAAATTTTCAAGAATATTCTGTTTGCCAGGTTACGGGTGTGCTTTAGCGTCGAGCGTGACAAAAGGGTGACATTTGAGAAAGAGGGAAAATTTATTACGATAAGTTACATGCATTTTTATGCTACGTTATTCGATACAACGCGATTCCTCTTAGCGCTTTCCCTTCACAAAATGGCCTCGAGTACAAAGAGTCGATCTCTTTGAAAATGATTCGGTATGAAAATTGAGATACCTCTGTCACCGTTAATCGCGACGTTTCCCGTGCAAAGTTATCGGCTCTATTAATACTTGCTCGAAACACCGCAACGTCCGAACGAATGCGCACAGGCGACCGACGCGTTCGTAAATATCAGGGACGCTCTTTCAGGATTGGCTCCGCGACTCGAGACAATGGGGAAAGTTTTTCCCGCGCGCGCGCGCGCGCGCAACAAACGCGGTTTGAAAAGTATCGCGGCTCCCGGTATCGCGGTGGTTCCCCCTCTTTTATTGTGCCGTCGCGCTTACGGTAGAACGTGTCGCGTCTTTTGTTCCCCTGTCGCGATTTCTTGCGGACGACGATCGCGACGAAACTCCGTCCTGGCCTTTCAGAAACGAACGATTCGCGTCGAAGTGGGATTATCTGTTTCTGTTTTCAATCAAATGATGGTCCTACGATGGCTCGCGAGCGCACAAAAATTAAGCTTCGACCTCTCGTCGTTTATTCGTGCAGTTTTCGTACTTTGGAACGATAGATCATTGACGACATAATTTTTTTAAAAATAGTACAGGATCGCTATTACTAGGTGTGGTTCCCTCTTGACGATCAGTCTAATATGATCCTGACCGATTGACAAGCTTCTGCCGACTGGATTTTTGTTCTCGGACCGCTTTCTCTTTCGCTCTCTGTCCTTTTCTACGTAAACACGGAATAGAAGAAACGCGATCCTTCCGTACCCTTTCGCCCGCTAACGGTGTTCGTTTCCGCGTTTCAGGACGATACTGGACACGAAGTACGGCCTGAAGAGGTGGCAGATCGGCGAGATCGCCAGCAAGATCGGCCAGCTCTACTATCACTACTACCTGCGCACCAGCGAGACCAGCTACCTGCACGAGGCCTATTCGTTCTACGCGGCGATAAGGGGTCGCGCGTATTACAGCCGCGCCGCCAAGGAGGACAGGAGCGACCTGATGGTGAAGAAGCTCAGGTATTACGCGCGGTTCATCGTCGTCTGCCTCCTGCTGAACCGCATGAAGCTGGTGCGCGAGCTGGTCCAGGAGCTAGACGCTCAGATCGCGGACTACACCAGCACCTACGAGCCCGACGATCAGCTCGAGTGGAACCTGGTGCTGGACGAGATCAAGGCGTTCGTGAAGGCCGAGTCGGCGGTCGGGGTGGTGCACTCGGACTCGAATCCTGTCATACTCACCCACAGACTCGGCGCCCAGACATCGCCGCCGATCGAACGTACGCCACCCATGTGCCTATCGCTGCAGGAGATCCTCATCGTCGGCAACTGCACTGATCAGGTCCACTTCATATACCTATAGTCTCTTATAGTCTCTTACAGTCTCCTATAGTCTCTTGTAGTCTCTTATAGTCTCTTATAGTCTCTTATAGTCTCTTATAGTCTTGTAGTCTTGTAGTCTTGTAGTCTTGTCCATGCACTGATCAGGTCCACTTCATATACCTATAGTCTCTTATAGTCTCTTATAATCTCTTATAATCTCTTATAGTCTCTTATAGTCTCTTATAGTCTCTTATAGTCTTGTAGTCTTGTAGTCTTGTAGTCTTGTAGTCTTGTCCATGCACTGATCAGGTCCACTTCATATACCTATAGTCTCTTATAGTCTCTTATAGTCTCTTACAGTCTCTTATAGTCTCTTACAGTCTCTTATAGACTCTTATAGTCTCTTATAGTCTCTTATAGTCTCTTATAGTCTTGTAGTCTTGTAGTCCCGTAGGGTTGTCCAGAAAACTGGTGGCAATTTTTATGAAAAGTGTTTGAAAGCGTATTAGAATTTTAATGTATACAGTCGGGCCTTATATGAGTGCTCTCGTGTATTTATAACAAAAAGTTAATTGCTTGCACTGTATTCACGAATCTGACTCGTGGCGATATTTTTGATGCCAAACTTAAAATTCACAAGTCTGATTCGTGATAATATTTTGTTTAGGTCAAACTTGCAAATCACGAGTCAGGCTCGCGATGAAAATGTTTAGTTCAATTATAAAAATCACGAGTTCGACTCGTGACGATATTTTCATCCAAATTCGAAAATCACGAGTCCGACTCGTGATCCTAATTTTATTCCAAATTTGAAAATCACGAGTCCGACACGTGATCCAAATTTTCATCCAAATTCGATAATCACGAGTCCGACTCGTGATCCTAATTTTCTTCCAAATTTGAAAATCCCGGGTCTGACTCTACTTAGACATCGTATCCGTTACTTTACTTTCGAGTCCCCGTACGTAACATCTCGATCGATTCTCAACCGATTCTCAACCGATTCTCAACCGATTAAAGTCAACTAAAGTTTGTTGGTCTGTCGATCAGGTGAAGTTCAGCGAGTTGTCGATGGACATGTTCAGGATGCTGCAGACCCTGGAGAGGGAGCCCAGGGACGACCCTAACCACCTTCACGACGCCTCGCCGGCAGGGAGGATGCCCTTCAGGCCGGGCCCGTATCCGGGCGCCGAGAACGGGGCGCCCAGACGCGACAATCCACACAAGTACCTGCTGTACAAGCCCACCTACAGCCAGGTACAGGTATTCCTCGCCAGCGGCTTCAAGGAGCTGCCGGCGAACGGGGCCCTGTTGCTCTACCTGTCGGCGGACGGTTGCTTCTCCACCGTCAAGCATCCGGAAGAAAGTGAGTAGTCTCGGTCGATTGACGACGCCTATGCGTATCTTAGAGCCTTGGCTTGAGCCGTTGCTGTAACGCCCGACACCGCGGGAGCTTTCGTCGCGTTGTTGCTGTTGCGCTGTTAGGACGGGTTCATTCGTGTCTGTCGACTTTTCGATACCTTCAACGGGTGCTTGCGCACGCGGCATTCGCACACGCGCGAATTACTAGGACAACGGTACTGTTTTTGGACCACTTGGTACCGTTATATTTCCAAATTTCATATAGATCCATCCAATATTCCAAGGAGAACAGAGCTCGGTTAAAATGTGAACGCCTTTATTACGTTCCTTACATCCTTTATTACATCCGAATCTGCTTTTGTTTCTCCAGCGTCACGCGTTCTTTTCTGACGCGCACGATTTAAAACAAACCATATACGCGTCAGGTACCTTCATCAAGCTTCCGCAAAGTGGCAGGAAGTCGACGGCACGAACGAGTTCCGGGGGTTGCGTATCGAGGAGGCTTAAAAATCTAGACGCTTTCGTTGTCGTCTCTTTTCTGACCGTCTGGGGGGAGAAGATGTCGCTTCTGAATCTGCTCGAACCTCTAACAGAAAAAAAAGAACTGCCACTCATGGCCGGAGACGATTTAAAAAACCAAGAACGATTCACGAGTCGTCGTTTTCGAACCGATCGATAGGATCGAAGCGTGGAACGATCCGCGAACGATCGTCAAAGCTACCCGTTCGCCACGGGAAAATAGTTGGTGTACGCTGCAAAAGTACACCGGAACGGCAGGGGGCCGGGAAGGGGCTGGGGACGCTGATCGGCCGAAAATTACTTATCGCGATAGAGGCCAGGCCAACCGATGCGCGGTTAAAGCGAATCACTCGCTCGACGGAGCCGAAGGCGAACGCGTGTCGGTGTTTTCGGTCAGTTTCCTCGTGGGGCGGGTAATCCGACGCTTTGGTCGTCGATCTGGGAACGGGTTTTCCGTGTCCCCTGGAACGGAACAGCCGTCAACGGATAAGCCGTGTCGCAACGGTGTACGCCGCGGCCGCTACACGGGAACGAAACGCGTGTCCGTAAACGCGTCGGGATATCTCCGTCGTTAATTGGATTGGACCAGTGGTTCTTAACCTTTTTAAGCTCGGAGAACAGTTATCGCCGGAATCCGCCGACGATCCGCTAGATAGAATATTTTCGTTTACCGCTGAAATCAGGATTCAGAATGTTTGGGATTTCTACGGAGCTTCTGCTGTTCTTGTCGACGTTGGGGTATAATCACTTCGAGATGGTACCGGTGGTCAGCGCTGTAAATATCGAAACGCACCAAATTTTGTGTGACGAGTCCCGCTTTTCGTATCGAGTGAACCACGGAGCAACTGCGGAAAGTTTCGTAGCAGGGATTACAGGGAAATCGAGAACAAATCAGAAACGAACCTTCGAGAACCGGAGTGGCCTAACGTATTTTTTGTTTTTTTTTTTTAATTTTTTTTTAAATCAAACTATGACCCAAAGCGCATAGCTAACGAGATATGTTTCGTAAAACCAAAGCGACATATATTCGACTCCTCGATCGTTAACAGATGACAGCACGGAACTGTTACTTAATTAGTTTATTTAAGTGCGTAGCTTCTCGCTATATCGCACGATCCGTATACATTCAGATCGTACAACGTCATCTTACTCTATGTTCGCTTATCTATAGTTTTTACATGTAACTTATTCCACAGGCACAGAACTGTAACTGTAATTTTTGGCGTATAGATCCGGTTTCTCTTCAGAACTCGGTACCATCATTTTGAAGCTCCGCTTCTCGTCGTCACGAATATTCAATTCCATCCAATTTCGTTCAAAGTTCTTCGCTGCTAAGTAAAAAGGGAACGTAGCTGTAGACTTTTTTTTTTTTTACGATGAAACAAAACGTCTACCGCAACCAGACGTCGATCAAACCGAGAAACACTTGTCGGTCTTCCGGTGGAGTTTACATAATCATATACGGGGTCGAGGAGGGGGGTGGAGGCGGGGGCGGGGGGGCGGGCACACGGGTGACGAAAGTCTTCGCTCATCAACGACGTCCGCGACGTGTCCGCGCCCACGAAGCCCTTGTGCGGGAATAGGAGAAAGGTGACGGTCCGATTCTTTCACCTCGCGATCCTCAACCACCTTTATTATTAAATAGATCGATCGATTATATACGCGTTATCTTGCGTACGCAGCATAGCTGAACAATTTCTACATTTCTATATTCACCGAACGGACGAATACGTACTAAAGGGTTGAATTTTGGTTGCAGGGTCTTAATTTAATCGATAATGCATAGGACACTCACTCGTCGCGCCGTAAATTTAGACGTTAGATTTTAGAGTATTTAGACAGCATTAGAAAGCACGACGCTATTCCAGCTTTGGATAGAAAAATGATCGATTAGAAGTAGAAACGGATTCAGAACGTTCCAAAAGAATTTAGGTCGAAACGATCGAACTCTTTGGGGATTTAAATAGTGATCTAGGATAACTTAGATTTATCTTATTTTAGAAAGAAAGAAAATCCCGGCATCCCAATGATACTTAAATAAGTAAGGAAGATTACTCGAAAATAATTCGAATTTTTCTGTCTAAATAAATGTATAATTCGTGTCCACGTGATTTACTTCTATTTACTTACTATATCGAACGTTAAATTAGGTATTCGATTGCGAGAAAGTATTTCCAAATATCAGCATATTTTCGGTCTGCAAGTCGTTCGGTCTGAAATCACGCGTTAAAAATAAATCCGGTTGAAAAGTCCTCGCGCTACGAGTGCGAGAACAATATCATCGCCTAGCTGCGAGTGGTAACAAGGGATAGAGTAGCGTGTTTCTTTTTTTTTTTTTCTTTTTTTTTTTCTCTCGTCTTTAATTAGCGCCCATCCTCGTGAAACTTTCATGCGGATCGAGAGAAGACATCTCGAGAGTGACCTCGCGAGATGCATGCAGCCGCGACCATGACCCCTTATCGCGGTGGCCGCTGAATTAACTAAATAGGAAATCCAGGTCGTTTAGATGGTTTCCTAATATTCCACGCGTCCCGGACGCGATCGCTATCCTTCGCGCGATTCCCGATCTCCTTTCACGAATACTTGTTCAAATTCACGATAATCCTCCTTGTTTACATGTTTAAACCCGAGAGGCTATTCGAGTCGCGGTCTGAAACAGAAAATATATCCGGTGGTCCCGAACGTTTCTTCCGTTTAATTAATAAGTAATACGTACGCAATATTTTATGTTTCATCGTCGAATCGAGTAGGTTCCATTTTGGTCGCATTCTGAGAGACTAGGTCGACCATTTACGTAAATATTATCGCGAGAAGCAACTAAGTGCAAATCGCGATAGGAACATTTGGAACGATTTAATACACGGATGGTCGGATTCAATCTTTTCGCGCGAAGACGGTACATGGTACATAGTATTTTCCCCTCGGCAAAAATATATTAGCACTGCGGGAGCATCGAGTAACGACACAAATTAAATTCGTGGCGTCATTTTCAAATGAATCGTGGAAAAAAAAAAATAAATAAGAATTTAAAAAAATGTGTCCAACCCCTCGATTGTTCGCGCAACTGTCGTCGCGTCCCGATTTACGACCTTGCGCCGAGTTTTCCCGTCCATCGAGGCGATATCTTTCTGCAAATGTTGGGCGCGAAGGATCCATCTCACCCAAAAAAAAACATTTTTTTCGTTCGCGATTGGAGGCCGACGGGGTCGCTGAAAAATTCACCGTGCCCGACCGCCAAAGGTGCTCCCTCTGACCGCTATTCACAGCGTTAAGGTTACAACCCGGCCGCGAACGCGAAAACGGGTCTTTCAACGAAAGTAGAGTAGCGGAACCGTGTCACGGTCAACCCGCGATGGAGATTCCGACGCGCCAGTTGGATTCTAAGTTCGCAATCAATATCGAAATACGCGGCGCGCCGTCGATATATCGAAGGGTGACCAGGTGGCCGCGCGTTCGAGTTTAAACGAGACCGTTTAGCCTCGTTACGGCCGCGAGGTGTTCGCGAAACGGTGACAGGCCGGAGTTACGCGAACGAATTTTTAGTCGAATCGACGGCCGCGCGTAATTCCCCGATGGGAATATTCGGGAAGCGTTGGTGCCGCTTGACTTGGTTTACTTTTTGTTTCTTTTTACAGGAGTAGAAATATTTTTATCGCGGTTACAAAAAGCATTCCAGAATGAACGATTCGATAGAAGACTTGCGAAATATTGGAGTCGATCTTCAGCCCTGTCCGGTATGGTCGAGCATTTCGGTAGAACGTTTCGACTCGTGATTTGCAAATCTGACCTGAAGATTTTACCACGAGCCACACTCGTGATTTTCAAACTTGACATAAAGTTTTCGTCGCGACTCGGATTCGTGATTTGCAAGTTTGGCATTAAATTTTCGTCACGAGTCAGACTCGTGATTTACA